TTTTCGAAATCCTGACTCTTGTAGTTGACAGTGTGCAAAAGGCCATCATCAGGAATGAGTTTGTGCAAGAACTGGAGTTTTGAGTCGGAAGATGCGGTTGTGAAGATATGTTTACTAGATTAGGATATCAGTGAGGCCGTTATTCTGGTCAACCGGTAAGCATACGCTTTCAAGAATTTTGCTAGTTGAAGGGCTGCCGTCCCAACACCTGTGTCGTAGGTTAGATTGATTATGCGTAAATTAGCCCGTATTGCCTACCGGATGCTCCAGTGTGGATGAGGATGGTTTCTCCTTCTTTGAGATGCGCGATTGTGACTATAGCCTGGAATGCTAGTGGGTATAAGAATCTCGGGTGAATTGAACTGTGTTGGGATGGATCTTCTCACCAGTGACATAATTTTCCATAATCCCTGCGGCGACCTCCCAGCTCATTCCAGCGGGCTTTGGAAGTAGAAAATCGGCCCCGATAGCAATATATTCTGTATATGCTCCCTTCGGCATGTCAGCCCAGAAGTTTAGATGGTAATATCAATTGTTTGAATCCACTCACTCCTGTGGCTAAACCAAGAACTTCATCACCAACTTTCCACTTTCCTGTATCGGGCCCTAACTCTTCGACGATTCCAGAGAACTCGACCCCCAAGATCTGACTTGCACCAGGCGGAACAGGATATTGTCCTTCTCTCTGACTTTGGATGTCTCAACTCCGACATAGATCAGTTGCCAAGAGTACGTACAGAATATCCATTCTGTTGAGACCAAATGCTTTGATCTAGGTTGATTGAGTAGCATGTCATTGGCTGTACTAGCCGTGTGATCGCCCACCAACATACCTTGACCAATACCTCTCCACTATCTAGCTTGGGAGTCGGGGCCTCGCCAACATAAAGCTTTTCTGCACCTTGACGGTTATTATCAACCAATACTGCTCGCATGGGTGACGATAGACAGAGTCCAAGTTGAATCATAGGCGTAACGCATTCGATTAGGTCATATCACGATCCAAATGAATTGTCGAATGGCCGACCATTGGTCAGCCAGCAACCTTCAGAATGCGAGCTTTGTCATCGCATCCGTATTGAGTGGACAAGAGAGTCGGTTGATCCAAATATAGAGCATTCGCCATTCCAAAGTAAACTTCAATTATTGACATGAATATTCGACGCTATACGAATCTGTTATTTGATGAACAGAGACTGTTTGTTTCAGGGTGTTCATATGGTCGAGTTTGAGTTGCACCAAACGTGACGCCGACCACTACTTCGCCTCGGAGCTGAAACCGTCTGTCATGCCAATCAAATTTGAAGATGAAGCAAATAAACCGTCGCTAGAAGAATACTTGGCAACGTTAAAAGGTCTAACAGACCAAACGGTCTCCAGTGCCTCCAAACTTCCACAAGACATACCCTTCCACCGGTCTCTCGATCGAAAATTTCGAACAGACCTCGACGCCGCGTCTGAACGCGTACTTCGACTCACCAACAAACTTTTAAAAGTCTCAAGTTCTCTGAACAAGAAGAAAGCCACCACCTCGCAGGCAAGGAAGACACGAAGAGACGACGAAAATGAGCCCACCTTGAATGATGAAGACGACATTAT